AGGCTTTAAAAATTATGATTCAGAGAAAAAATTAGGATAACTGTGTGTTTCCTTGCTGCTGGAAGTGAGGGCCAGTGATTAAATGCCCTGCAAAGCTAAAAGTTCATAAAGAAATTCCCATCTTACACATAACCCATTCTCTTTAAACTGCACCTGCATGATAAACCAGGAGTTATCATGGGAATGAGAAGAGCCCAGGACCTTCTTCACGCTCTACTGGTTTGTAACAGCAGAATATTTTGTATTAGAGTTCCTGGCAAAGGCTCTGAGAAGTAAAACCCCACACAGGGGTATTCCCTGGGGACTCAGCCTGGCCTTCCCAGGGCCAGGTGGCCTCAGGCAGGAGCTGGGGGAAAACAAGACTCACAGAAAGTTGGAAAAGCCCTCTGAGAGCATCAAGTCCAACCATCAGTGCAGCACCACCTTGTTCACCACTAAACCACGTCCTAAGTGCCACTTCCACGTGTTTTCTGTACACTTCCAGGGATGGTGACTCCACCACTGCTCTGGGCAGGCTACTCCAATGCTTTACAACCCTTCCCACTGAGAAGTTTTCCCTGATATCCAACCTAAACCTACCCTGGCACAGCTTGAGGCCATTTCCTCTGGTCCTGTCCCTTGATCCCTGGGAGCAGAGCCCGACCCCCACCTGGCTCCCCCCTCCTGTCAGAGATGCAGCCAGGGATCTGCTCCTGCCTCATCTGGGAGCTTTGTGTTTGAGCACAAAGGGGGAATCCCAGGCTTTAGGCACTTCCTAAGTCAGAGAGGACAGCCCAGGGCCCCAAGGCAGTCCTTGGATGAGGCTGGAAGATGGACACTGTAGGACACTGAGATATTGCACAGATCTCCCTCTTTTCCCTTTCACATCCTATTTTGGCTTCTAAGCCCCAGCCAGATCTCTCAGTCTGGAAACCCCCCCCCCTAGTGCATCCAGGCCCATGTCCAGTACACCCACTGGGAAAGCATGTCAGGGCATCCCTAAAACCAGGTCCTGCAGTCCTCTCTCCAGAGTTTCCAGAGCCCAAGATCCTACCAGAGATATTACAGGTACTGCTGCAGGAAGGAACTGCAGAACAACTCTGAAAAAAAAAAAAAAAAAAAAAAAAAAAAAAGGCAAGATGCTAGAAGAGGAGAGAGCTGGAGGGAAAACAAAAAACCCCAACCCAACCACCTCATTAAAAGCTTTTCTCCTTCCTCTGCTTAACAAGGAGAATGCTTAATTAAGTCCTCCTTCAAGCCTTCCCCCTCGCCCAGCCAGGCTCAGCAGAAAGCAGAGATTTAACAATTTCCTTTGCAGCACAGGACACCTCTGTGGGACAGGAATTTGCATATTCTAAAGGAGCAGTGAATTGCTGGTTCTGTGTTGCTCAGCAGTGGGGAGGGACAGGATCAGCAGGAGGCACATTTCAGATGCCAGGAACAACCAGAGCAGGAGGGGAAGGAGCAAGTTGCTGTTTACTCCAAGTCTGGAGCTTTCCCAAGGCAGGACTTTGTTTTATGCACAGACTCCGTTTATTTGCAAGTCTCTTTCAGCTTATTAGGTCAGTTTAACTGGCAACTGCTGCTGATTTTAAACCCAATTATAGTCACTTCTACCTGGTGACACAGCCCCAGTTCTACAGCCAATTCTCACCCATTAATGCCTTCAGAATTGGTAGGACTTGCTATTCATGGCAATCACAAGTTTGACCTCAGAGTTACTGTTTCCTGCCATAATTTCAGCCCTGTTTGTTTGCACTGGAACATTTCCCCGTGTGCTCCCAACTCCTGGGACCACTTCTCCTGTGTACTGAGCTGAGGTGCACATTAGAGACAAGTTTTCAACTTAGGCTCACTTATAATGAAAAAAAAAAAAGCTCAAATGCTCATCTTTCTGGGACAAAAGTATCACCAAGGACCCTCTACTAGAACCCAGACATTCCTAAGGAATTTGTCCCCACTCCTCATGATTTAGATCTCTTACAATGAAGGACCAGAGTAACACAGTGATGACAAATTCCTTTTTTTTTTTTTTACTGCTGGGTCTTTCAAACAACCACCAAAAGCTCCCATAAGCCAGCAGGCCTCAGCCCACCATCCTGCAGCTTTGGGGACACCGAGGAGGACTTCCAGCTCTGCACATGCCAGGAAACTGGGCTTGACACACCTGCACCACACAGAGGGGACAGAGGCAGGTAAATACCCCAAACCCAGAGAGGGACAAGCAGGAGACACAAGACATTTCCAAGGAACTGCAGCAGGATGGATTTAAGAAAGTGTTTGTGCCTCTGTTTTTCCCTCTGAGTATTCCTGAATTCCCCCAGAAAGTACCATGAGCAGCCTTGCACTTCACCAAAGAAAAGATCTATTTTGACCACAAACTGCATTAAAAAGGTGAAAACTGTGTTCTGAGCAAGATGATGTTTGTAGCAATTTGAGGAACTGGGCTCTACAGGGAGAAGGACACAGAAATGATGGAATGCTCTGGTTTGGAAGGAACCTTAAAGATCATATTGCTCCATGGGCAGGGACACCTTCCACTGTCCCAGGTTGCTCCAAGCCCTGTCCAACCTGGCCTTGGACACTTACAGGGATGGGGCAGCCACAACTTCTCTGGGCAACCTGTGCCAGGGCCTCCCCACCCTCCCAGGGAAGGATTTCTTCCTAATAGTCGACCTAAATCTCCCCTCTTTCAGCTTAAAACCATTCTCCCTCGTCCTATCACCGCAAAATCCCTTGCAAAGACACCGGGCAGGAGGAGGATCCTCAGGTGTGCCCAGGTTTGGGTGCAGTTGTACAAAACATACAACACAGCCCTGGGTTATCCAGTGCAGAGGAATGAACCTTGTCCCTGCAGCAGAGCAGGACTCCCCAAAGGCACAGCACCCAGGAAGGAGCTCTGAGGCAGGGGAGGGATGCAGCAGCGTTCCAGGAGGGAGGAAAAGCCACAGCTACAGCTCCAAGACATTTGGGAGCTGGACCACGGGTCAGCTCAGTGCTCCACAAGCACCTGCCAGCTGGTATGCCAGGAAAGTTTTCCACAGTTGTTATGATTCCACTGGATCATCAACCATGGCACTCCCAGGCCATCTCCTCACTCAGTGCCTTACACAGAAGGGATGGAGCCAGACTGCCCCAGTACAGCTTGTGCCCTAAACTGGTACAAGGCTGTCAGAAAACACTAAAGAACGTTCTGCTTCCACCCTGACTAATTCCCAGTGTCTTTGACAGGGAGTAGGAGCTCCTGCTGGAACTGCTTTGCTCCTCTCTGAATGTGTAATGAGGTTTTAAAGCAGCAGCCCAACCTCCAGCTCAAAGGCCCTGCAGGAACCTCCTCCAGCAAAGGGACTTCTCTTGCCATGAATGAACAGTAGAATCCTGTTTAGGTCTTGGTGATTTATGTTTGTCTGGAGACTTGGTCTATTTTTAATGCTGCAACTAAAATCAACTTCCAAGCTGTGTAAGGTGGGAGAACTCCACACACTGGGCTCAGTGGATAAACTCTGGCTGATGAGTTCAGCCCAATCCCTAAACTCAGCCCTATAGAAGTGTCTCCTTTTCCCTTTCCCTTTGTACTTCTCAGTCTCCCCTAACCAAACCCACTGGTTTACTTCCACCAGCTCTGTGGAAATCAGCACCTTCACAAGCCACTTTCTGGGAAACAAGAGGCCACAGAACCTTCCCAGGGGAGGACCCGTGTGGTGCCCCAGATCACCACAATCCCTCAGACTCCCACCACAAAGCAGGGCCAAGCTGATGCCCAGAGCCACACAAAAAGCTTCCCAGGTCAGGCACCATCAGGAATGAGACCCAAGGTCCTACAGGCTTCCAAACTGGACTTCAGCAAGTGGAGAAGCAGAGCCTCTTGCCAAGCCCAGAGCCACAGATTTCCTGCACAAGACCTTGTCAGTCTTAAATCCCCTTTCAGAGCTCCTTTCTTGGGGCAGGTACCTGTGACAGGTGTCACCAGTGTCATCCCACAGCCAGGGCAGAAGGATTTGTGCTCTGAGGCCACACACTCAGCTTGGCCCAAGGCACAGGGGCAGCAGGAAGGGCAGAGGCTACACAAAGAGGCACATCCAGCCAGGAGAGGGTTGTGTTCTTTTAGGACCCAACCTTTTCCTCGAACACTGCCTTAACTCCCTCACAAGCACAGACAAAAGAGCCAAGCTTAAAAAACACCACTGCACTGATGGAAAGGCTGCCAATATTCATTTTCTGCAAGCAAGGAGGTGCTGCCTGTGCTTCAGGAGAGAGAGAAAACAGCAGCAAAGTGACGGCCCTGAGCTGGGGATGCTTCCTGACAGAAGGCTGCTGTCATTTTCCACAGCTCCTTCCCTTGGGTTTACCCCAAAGCAAGAGACCAGCAAAGATTTTCACTCCCCCCCCTTGCACCCCCCTGAAGGTTTTGACAAAAAAAGGAAAAAAAAATGATCAAAGAGCCTTTGTGCATTTATAAACCCGTCAATTTTGCTGGAAGATTTAAGGCTTTAAAGAGTCCAAAACAGCCATTTGAAATTTTTTCTCCAAACAGGTTTTTTAATATTTAAAAAAACTCCAAAAAAACAAAACAAAAAAAAACCAAACCAGAAATAAAATATTTAGATTTTTCTGAAGTGAGGCATTCCAACAGTTCCAGACAGGAGAGCTGGAGGGGAGGAGGAAATCCAATTCTTAAGTTTGACAGGAACAAGTTTTTTTTTTTTTGCTTCTTTTAATTGGCAGAGAAATAAGACTACAGAGCTATTCCTCCCCCTGGCTCTGAGCAGGAATAGCTGGGATAAGCAGCACAGGAAACAACAAACCAAACTTACTCAACTCCTGGCAGTTCCAGGTCCCTGTCCCAGGAAAAATTCCCTGAGCTGATGATGCAGCAACACTCCACCATCCCACCCTTCCCCTTCACCTTCCACTTTGCCTCCAAAACCCTCCCACGCAGAAGAGAAGCAGGTTCCCCACCTGAGAACACAGCACAGAGGTTTGGGGAGAGCTCAGCCTTTTTTTTCCCACAGCCTGGTTACCTTGATTCCTGCTCAGCCACAAGAGCTGTCAAACATTCTGCAGCACATGTCCTTCTCCGTTTCCACGTACTCCTCGTAGCACCTGCAGAGCAGAGACAGGATGGCATCAGGGGCTGGGGACTGCCAGGGCCACAACCCAAAAATAGAGCTTATTTTTTCTGTAGAATATTACTTTTCTACATAAATAAATTAGCCTGATGTAACAGTGTGTTTGCAGCACAGACACAGCTCATCCAAGTCCTTCTCTCTGCCACGTCAGGGAAGAAGAGCTGGAAACGTTGTGCCTCCTCCTCAGATCTTGGGTATCTGCTTTACTGGACCAAGCTAACTGAGGTAGAGGTGTAGCTTTCTAATCCAACTTAAATCATTTATTTGCCTTTTGGGAGCCAGATGATTTCCACACCAGTTTTGGAAGTGTGGGACAGTGCAGAGGAACCCCACCTGTGTGCTGTGGGATAGTTTTGTGTCTCCCTGCAGGAGCTCCTTCAGCACCCAGGAGACATTGCCTGAGTGCCCTACACCAGGACATCCACCATGGACACAGGATGGGCAGGGGACAGCAGGGATTTGTGTCAGGACTAAGTGGATGACAAGGCAGATGTTCCCTCCTCTGTTCTCACTTCAAAAAAGCAGAAGCTTCCCAGCCTGCTCCATCTGAATCCCTGCTTATCCAGGCACAGCATCCTCTGCTCCCTGTGCTCTCACCTCACTGGTGAGGAATCCCTGAGCCACAGGGTGACTCAGTTTGGGAGCTGTCCCAGGGAGCAGTGGCTGCCCACGGGGTCAGTTTTCCTGCATCTGCTGCCATATAAGGCCAAAAGCAAAGGTTTTTGTGCAACAGGGCAGAACCAGCCCCAGGGTGGCTCCAGCTCTCCCAGCCCTGCCCTCAGCACCTCTGGGCCCAGAGCCCTCAGAAGGTTTGGTGAAGTGAAATCCCAGCACAGTAAATCTCTCCTGGTAAGGCTCAGACAGGGGTGGCTGAGCAGATCATGGATGCCCATCTGTGGAAGGTACATTCCCACACCAGCCACAGCAGGAAATCCAAGAGCCCCTTGTTTGGAGGGGCAGATTCATGCCAGACATTGGAACGGCCCCATTTCACCCCAGATTTGATGCAACACAAACCTTCCAACAGAATTCCCAAATCCAGCAGCAGAATTTGCACCAAGACCACCACAGCTGGTACCAGGCACACATTCCACATGCCCCTCACCCTGGATTCTGCCTTTTCTCCAGTGAAGTGAATTTTGCCAAGAACTTGGTTCAGCTGGTAAACAGATGCTTTCCAAAGCTTTGTTTCAGACAGCAAAAGGGAGCTGCTGATTAACATGACATTCCTCTTAGCAGAAGATAAATGTACCCAGTGAGGAAGTGAAAAGCCTCTAAAAACAGGATTTTGATCCATACTCCAATTTCTGAAGCATTTGCCAGATCACACTGCAAGTTTTCTCAGGCAAAGGCAACATTCCAGATGGAGCTTGAGGTAAGGCCTCATTAACAACACCCAATTAACACTGGCTTCATCTATTTCTTACTAATTCCACTCTTTGCCAGTGGTAAAAGATCCCACCTGCAGAGATGCCTCCAGCTCTGGGGTCCTGAGCACAGGAAGGACTTGAACCTGCTGGAGCAAGTCCAGAGGAGGCCACAGAGATACTCCAAGAGCTGAAGCTCAGGCTGGAGCCAGGCTGGGAGAGCTGGGGGGGTTCACCCAGAGAAGAGAAGGCTCCAGGGAGACCTGAGAGCCCCTTCCAGGGCCTAAAGGGGCTCCAGGAGAGCTGGAGAGGGACTTGGGACAAGGGATGGAGGGACAGGACACAGGGAATGGCTTCACACTGCAGAGGGCAGGGTTTGGATGGGATGTTGGGGAAGGAATTCTTGGCTGTGAGGGTGGGGAGGCCCTGGCACAGGTTGGAAAGAGAAGCTGTGGCTGCCCCATCCCTGGAAGTGTCCAAGGCCAGGTTGGATGGGGTTTGGAGCAACCTGGGCTAGTGGAAGGTGTCCCTGCCCATGGTAGAGGGTAGGACTGGATGGGCTTTAAGGTCCCACCCAACCCAACCCATTCTATGGTTAAAAACAAAAAAATACACCAATTTTACCAGGCACTGAAGCAGGAACTGCAGGACAACAGTGGTTTAATGCACACTCAGCTCTGACACACCTTTGGCTGTAGGTGCTGCTCTCTCCAGAGCTGGAGCAGACAGAGGCACAAATGCCTTGTTGCTTCCTGGCAGCACCACCTCAACACTGTCAGCAAGATTCCTCTTTTACCTGCCAACATATTTCAAACAAACCGAAGGGAACACAAGAGGCTTCTAGAATGAGGCCTTCCAGCCCTGAACACGACCCAACCTCCAAGAGCAGCCAGATCTAGTGCAGAACTCCCTGCCCTCACCTCACAGTCTGGGAGCTCCACACCCAGAGGGAGATCTGCACGAATACAAGGGCTTTATTTCAGATTTCCACACCAACAGCTAATCCTGCCTTCGAGCTCTTTGTGCTTCAGAAGTAACAGAACAAGTTTGAAGACTTGGTGTCATCACAGACTGTCAAAGATGATGTGGATACACAGGACACTGATGTGACAGAACAGCTCTGCACCAGAACATTCCCTGGAGAAGGCACTCAGCCCTCCAGACTGGCTTTTCCAGCAGCACCAGTCACTCTTTTAGATATTGTTGCTGCCTACAAACCTTTCTGCAAGTGCCTGGCACCGACACACAAAAGGGGGTTCGTATTCCAGGGCTGCTTTGTGAGCTCTGGAGCTGGGCATGGCATCACTCCTACCCCTGTGAACAGTGCCAGGACAGCACATACTTTTGGGAACTAGTTGGTGCTTCTGGCAGTTTCAAAGGAAGAGCAGAATGAGGGCAGAGACAAGCATTACTCATGTTTTGGTGGGGCTGGGCCATGACTAAAGCTGGCAGGGTTGTCCTGTACTCAGCCTGAGGGTGAAGGCAGAGTTTGCCTTCAGGGCTGCTCACTTATTACCTCTAAACCAGCAAGAAATTCACTTTTAACAAACAGCAGTATTTGTAGCATTGTGCACTGAAGCACTTGCAGTGCAGAAAAGCTGCTGTGATTAACCAACACGTCTTAAAGGGAATCAAAATCATACTTATTAATCCAGGACATGATCAGCTGGAGGTCCAGCCAACTGCATTTCACAGAGCCACAGAATATTCCCAGTTGGAAGGGACCCATAATGATCTTCAAGTCCAACTCTTCACTGACTGGCCCCTCCAGACACTGAACCCACAACCTTGGCATTATTAGCACCAAGCTCTAACCAACTGAGCTAAATTCACTGGGTTTGAGGCATTTTGGCAACCCTCACATCCCTGTCCTCATCCTTACCTGCTCCCATCCCACCAAACCAACTGTATGGAAAGGGTGGTTGCTCCCAGCTCCTCACCTGCAGCTGCTGTGCCTCAAAAATGTTTTCAAGCAGTTTTCCCCACCTGCCTTTTCCCAAGTCACTCACTAACCCAATAGTTTGGTGTTTGGTTGTTTTTTTTTTTTTTAACAGTTTAAATGTTTTGGAATGGGTGTTCCAGCCCATCTAAACCCTCCAGGGATGGAAAGGAGGGCTCTCACCTTGCCCACTTCTTCAGCTCGTTGTTGATATCACGGTTGAAGGGCTGGATTTGCTGGGCTCTAGTCAGGAAATCCCGGGATTTGTTGTATTCCCTCATGCAGAGACAAGCCTGGGAAGAAGATGGGTGCATTGCAAGGTAAATACAGACTCACTGCCCTTCTTCAGGACTCAACAACAAACATTCCTGAGACAGAGCCAGGTAGCTCAGGAATCCCCCAGGAGAAGCTCCAGGTGACAGACTCCCAGAGGGAAGGGGCAGGTGCAGCCAAACCACCTCGACTGCTGCAGAATCCAGGGGTTCCCTCCACAGCCAGGCCGGGGGGTTCTGGGATGATAAAACCAGAAGGATTTCTTTGTGCCCACCTGGCCACACCTGAACAGGGCTTTGACATTTCCCTGGTCCATCTCCAAGGCTTTCTTCCCGTATTTCAAAGCTCGCTCAGGACATTCCAGTTTCAGGTAAGTGAGGGAGAGGTTCAGGAGCAGAGGCACCTTGGAAGTGTTGATCTGGCTCCGCTCGGCCTCGCTGGAACAGCTGCGATCCAGGATGGAGAGAGCCTGAGCAGAGAGGGGGGAAAAAACAACCAGTGCACAACAAATCCCTGCTGGAAAGTGAGGGATCCACCTCATCCAACAGCAACACCCACATTTCTGCTCACCTCAGTCAGCTAAAAGTAATAACAATCAGAACTGTAAATAGCACGTGGCATTCTCAGCTCAGCCACGTGGCCACGGGTTTAGGAGCTGATCAAGGAACTTGAAAGCAGTAGAATGAAAAGAAAATTACATCCAGGACTCAGATTTTAAGGACAAACATGGAAGAGAAATGTTACAGGGACAAAGGCAAGTTAAATTAATTTTGTTTCAAAAATAGCAGGGAAAAGCAACTGAATCTTTACCACCTCTGGAACTGTGGCAGATGCATTCCAGTTTGGGAATAACTGAGCATTTCCATGCCTGGAGAGGGAGCTGGGGGGCTCAGCCTGGAGAAAAGGAGGCTTAGGGGGGACTTTCTCACTCTCTCCAACTCTCTGACAGGAGAGTGGAACTGGGGGGGTTGGGCTCTGCTCCCAGGGAACAAGGGGCAGAACAAGAACAAAAGGCCTCAAGTTGCAGGAGGCAACTGCAGGAGAGGTTTAGGTTGGATTTTAGGGAAAATTTCTTCATGGAAAGGGTTGTCCAGCCCTGGCACAGCTGTCCAGGGCAGTGGTGGAGTCCCCATCCCTGGAGAGATTTAACAGATGTGTGGATGTGGCACTTGGGGACACGGGTCAGTGGTGGCCTTGGCAGTGCTGGGGGATGGTTGGAGTCGATCTCAAAGGGCTTTCCCAACCCTAAGGATTCTGTGACTCTATTCCCTCATTCACCACAGCTGCCTCCACAAAACCAGGTGTCCAAGCCCTGTTCTTTGATACCAAACTATGCCTGGAAGAGACAATGAAGTTATTTGCTCTCTAACCTGTACCTGCTGTGGTGAGCTAACAACAATCCCTGCTTCCACAGCTTTTCCCAAAGCACATCCCGCCTTTTCCTGGCTCCATACCCTTTTGTATCTGTGCTTGGCAACCCCAAAGTTCTGCTTATGGAAGAAGTAGTTGCCAAACTCTTTCTCCGTGGCTGCCACTTTCAACACCTTTTCTAGAGGAAACGTGTCCTTCTGTGCCTGGGGAAAGAAATACCTGAATTTCAGCTCAAACAAAAGGAAACAAGCACAGAGCCCAGACAGGACAGCCCTGCACAGCCCCCTCTTATTCACAAAGCAGCAGCCAGGCCCTTGCCAAGGCCAGGCCATCACCATGTGGCATCTCCCCAGTCAGGCTGAAACTTTTTGTGCTGGTAATTCCTGATGAAGAGGTCAGGAAGCTCCCCAGGCCCACAGTAGGGCTGAAAAAAGCAGGAATGTGTCCTTAAATCCTGCCCAACTCTCTCAGCACACAGCTGAGTTAATACAAATGCTGTCACTGGCACAAAGCTGCTTGAAAGGCTCTGTTGCTCCAATTGCTCTCAGGGCAGCTCTGGGACGGCCTGACACCCCCCCCAAGAGACACCAACCAGCAAAAAAAAAAAAAAAAAGACCCAGGAATCATAAAAAAGATAAAAATGGAGGGACAGGTTTTGTCCTGGGTCTGCAAGTTGGAACCAGCACACAGAGAGAGGTCAGTCAGCCAGAAAGGGTGGGCAAGGAGGGAGTGCTGCAAGTGTGGTTTCCTCACAGGGCTGTGGGGGAAAAAAAAATCAGCCTGTGCTGGGGGCAGGAGAGGGGCAGGAGAGGCTCCCCCATCAGCCTCTGCCCCCACTCACTGACCCACAACCACAGCCCAAAGCCCTTGACATGAAAAGGGGAATTAACAATAACACCGTAACTCACCAGGGAGGAAAGAACAGGGAAGGAGCACTTGGGAGAGCAGCCAAGAAGCTGGGACAAAAGGGTGGGGGGTGGAGGGGGCACTGGGACTGAGCAGGATTGTTACAGACGGCTCCTTCCTGCTCCTTAGAGGAATTCCTGGAAGCTGGTGCCCTCTAGTTGTAAACATGAGGTTTCTGGTAAAGCTAAAAATAACCAGGAGCAGTTCCACCGACTCCTTCCAGCCCAGAGGAGCAAACAAAGGCAGCACCCGCACCGGGAGGGACACACAAAGGGCAGGGACTCTGCATGTTTTTTTCCATTCCCCTCAAACACAACCACGAGCCACGAAAAGCACAGGGCAGGACAAGGACAAGGCAGGACAAGGACCCCTGCCCCGTGTGTCGTTCCCAAACCTTACTAAGGAGACTCACGTCGCTCAGCTCGAAGAACAGGTCACACTCCTCCGAGTCGATGAAGTCCAGCAGCTCGACGTGGAAGAGCACGGTGGTGTCCGGGGGGATGTGTGGGGGGCAGCCCCGCGGGCCGTACGCGTACCGCGGGCTGAACCAGAACCGCGCCACCTCGCCCCGGGCCATGGACATCAGCCCCAGCTCCAGCCCCCACAGCGTGATGTCTGCCACAACCAGGGGTGCCAGGGGTGAGGCTCAAGGCCACCGACCCCCCTCACACGCCAAGCAGTGAGTTTTCCCAAAGCCTGGAGGAAAGAACTCCTTGGGAGCTCCTCAGCGGCTCCGCGGGGGGTTATCAGGCTGAGGGGCCGAGCACAAGGTATCACAGATCCAGGGTGGTCTGGGACCTTAGAGATCATCCAGCCCAACCCCTGCCATGAGCAGGGACAGCTCCTACTCGGCCAGGGTGCTCCAAGCCCCATCCAGCCTGGAAAAGAACAGCATCTCCTCTCTGGTGATTTCAAACAGGTGGGAAACACCTCCCTGCCCCTCCTGGGCAGAGGGTTACAGGTGCACATTCCCTCTCCCATCTGAACCACGGGGATTTTGGGCTCCACTGACAACTTTTTAATGTTTCAAACAACCTAGAGGCACCAAATAGCACTTGAATTGAAATGTCTCAACACAACCCCAAGCCCCAAAAGGTCTCAATACAATCCTGAGCCCCAAAATGTCTCAACACAACCCTGAGCCCCAGGACCAACTTTGTGGCTCAAACCTACCTCTTCCAAGTTTCATCAGCTTTGGATACTTGCCGTGCCCATAGGAACAGAAGGGGTTATTCCAGTTTCCCAGGTACCCAGAGTACTTCACTGTGCAAAGGGAGGAGTGGGGAGAAGAGAAAAGCAAGAGTTTGGTTTCACATCCAGCGACAGCAACACCAGGAGCACACTCAGGGCTGGATTTGCAACACACTTTTTTCCTGCTTCTCTTTTTTCCTTCTGGTGTGGAACAGCAGAGGCAGCACAAACCCTTGTGTTCTACACCAAAAACCTGGTGCCACCCAAGCAGCCCAGTGGTGCTGTGTGTTTTAACAACATCCCCAGACAAAGCAGCTGCTTAACACTCCTGAGCTAATTAAGAGATGTGATTTTTGTGCTTTTAAGAATTGGAAACTTCAGCTGAGCAAATTAAAATGCCTCGGTTATCTGCAGAAATACTCAACAAAGCATTCCCTAACCAAAGCTGGAGACCTGGAGAGAGAGGAACAAAGGGGAAAACATACCCTCCAAGCTGTGAATCTGCGACTCCAGGTCTCCTCAGTTAGAAAACACACTGTAATGGGTGTTCCCTGATCCAGCACCAGCCCTGAAACCACTTCAGGAACCAATTCCAGCCTCAAACTTCTCTGTGAGCACAGGTGGGCCCTGGAAATCTAGCTTTCCTCAAGGTCAAGATGCCCTTTCCTTTAATCTGTCAGCCACAAGAAGTTACACAGGGTATCCCAAGTGCTAAAACACTGATAAGGAGAACAGACAGTCTCCAAAACAGAAAGACACAGCACTTTGAAGCGCCTGTTCTGGTCTTTGCCAGCCACCAGCACCTCAACATAACAGGCTTGGGGCTCTTCCACAACAGGCTCTGCCCTCTTTGTCTCCCCCAGCACCTTCCCCTGGCCCTGCCACCCCGACCAAACGTGGCACTGAGGCACAGGGCACACAGATGGGCACCACACCCTCACTCCAGCTCACACTGCCAAGGAGTTTAAGCTTTTAGTCCTGGTGAACGCAGACTAAACTTATTAAGTGCTATTTAAAAGCTGCTCAGGGGCCTGATGTACCCATGA